TATAATGTTCAAATACAATCTGATGTTTCGATTTCAAAGGAATCTACAGTTTCTTCCCGTAGTAAAATGGCGAGCATCATGGTTCACTCAGTATAGTATGTGCAAAGAACATGCAAAATCATAAAATTTACTTGAATATGAGCAACTGTCCTCAACCTTTTGCCTTCTCCGATATACGATTGGAGCTTAACTCAAGACATCTGCATAAGGCTGCAGGCTAAATGACAATTTGCCAAATTACTTATTCGAAAATAGCTTATTGAAGTAGAAAATAACCGTAATTGTAAATATAATTGTTCGGTTTATTGTTAGATCAGAAAAGTGGAAAAATTATAAAACAGTTCCCACCTTGCTAATTTTTGCCCACCTTTTTCGACTTATAAATTAGGAAGAGACGTTATAGAAACCAAATATTAGAGGGAAATTCGGATAAACCAAAAGCATATATTTCTTTGTTTGGGTCATTTAGTGTAAAAAACGAAGTATTAGCAAATATATACTTTTGTAGGTATCCTAAAAGGATCGTTATCTGTACGTCATTTAGCCATGAAATTTCAATATTATTTCAAGCCGCCGGAATAGCCAGGTGACTGGACTTGTGCATGGCACCTCTCAAGCAAATCGTCCCTTTCACAAGCTGGCAATGATGTACAACTAGGATGTAATCTTGCCTATGATATGACGGCATCATATAATATGTGTTGCCGTTAGAAATAGCTTTATATATGAAGAAAAGTTGGGTTTCGAGGAATCTCTTGTTTCATAATTGTTGGGATTACTTCCATTTCGACTATGAAGAAAAGTTGGGTTTCGAGGAATCTCTTGTTTCATAGTTGTTGGGATTACTTCCATTTCGAGTAGGTGAGCTGTGCAAATAAATATGAAGAAAAGTTAGGTTTCGAGGAATCTCTTGTTTCATAATTGTTGAGCTTACTTCCATTTCGAGTGAAAGTGTTTGGTGAAGGGGTTTCGAAGAATTTCTTGTTTCATAATTGTTGGGATTACTTCCATTTCGAGTAGAAGTGTTGGGTGAAGAGATTCGAATCTCTTCACCCAACACTTCTACTCGAAATGGAAGTAATCCCAGAAATAGCTTTGACAACCCTGACACTAAATTAACATCCATTAGGTGTATTGTAAACTGTCCATTCAATATAAATTTCAAATTACATCTTAAAAGCCCGTCTAATTACTATTATTTGGTACAGAATTAAAATCAAATATTGGGTAGGCAGAAAATATTTCATTGGGCATTTTTTGCTCGCGGCAGTTGGAGTCTTCAAATATATCTCTGATGACGACAAAGTTTTGTTCGAAATTATCTACAAATATAGCTTAAAATGCAAGCATGCGATACAAGGGACAATATGAAGAGATCCCGGCTTAGCAATCTGTTTTCATTTCAGATCAGGTTTGACTCATATTTTACCCATTATTAAATTTCAGAGTCACTTCCTTTTGCCCTAAGCCCTGGACACAAAGCACTGCTCGATGCTCAAATATACGGCGTGTATTAACTTTTCCTTAGTGAAAAATGGTATAAGTATGTTTATTCAGGTATTCTGAAGCCTATTGGAATTTCTAATTGGAAAAGCGTAAGAAATCATGCGAAATTTAGATATGAATTTCCGGAGACGTTTGTGTTTGTATAAATGTAGGCATGTGAGAGATGAGCTGCGAAATTGTGATGCGGCCAAATATGTCCCTTTCTCGGCTAGTCCGCCTGACGTTAAAGACTCTTATCCATAAAACAAATTTCTCTATAAAGAATATAAACGCTGATCTAAACGTTTGATTCCAGCCAGATATAAAGTGATGTGGTAGTCTGGCTCATTGGGGAGTATAAAATTAGATATCCTCTTAAAATAAGCAACCCAAATTTGGCGCAGTAAGGAGATTCTGATGTATAGATTTGAGTTATCCCAAAACTGCAGTGAAACTGGGTTGAATAAGGCGATGCCAAGTTCATCTTGAAAGTGTTTATGAGTTTGGGCCTGTAATGGTGTTTGAACAAGGAACTACTCGCAAGTTGTTGGAGGCATCAAATAACATTGAAAACCAGGCCTTTTTCGCTTTTCATCCCCCCTAACCCATTCCCGCTTCCGGGTAAAATTCGGCCTGATTGCCTAGGGCCAAAGTTGGGAATTCTACTAAAAGCGGTAGAAACAAACAAGCAAGCTGAATAGTTCTGACCACCGTGTCAGCCTATAATGTGAACAAGGTCTAGTAAATACTGTGTCTATGAGCAGTAGACTGGATAAGATGCTAAAAGGTATGTCCTTAGATTGGCCTGGAATGGTATGGAGAATAGCGGCGACAGGTGAAGTGAAGGATTTACCTTGCGATTGGCTAACAATTGCACAAAGTTAAATGCTGCCAAATGCCTGAAGCTGTAAGAATGATGCTCACTTGGGTGACTAGCGAAACAGGTAAGAGAGAGAGAGGATAGTTCGTCTTTTCCTAGCTTCAATTCGAAGAGTCATGGACACATGTCACGTCATCATGATGACCTAATCAATTGGTGCAGAACCACTTCGCCATGCCAATGTGTTCAATTCGATAGGATCCCTGGCACTAGGGTCTCGGACGACCGGTCGGGCCGGAAGACGGACTGATCAGTCATCACAGAAGAGGAGACCGTCGATCAGGGAGTGCGAAAAGTTGATACGAAAACTTCCATGCATCGGCTCGAATGTCTGCTCCTGTTGAATGACCATCTGGCAACTGCGCTCAGGTGCAATGTATCGGCCAACGCGGACATGGTAGCGCATGAGTTGGCAGAGGCCGAATTGCATTTGAAGATGGACAATGTGGCGGACGATCTGCCGGCTGGAGGGGCTGATGGGCTGATCGCGGAACCAGACCTGAACCACGCGACTTGAGAGGCTGGCGGAAACGGCGAAACTGTCACGAAGACGATAGCCAGTTTTGGGAGAGAAGCAGCGCGGTTCGCCCAAAAACGGAGTGTGCAGACAATGGGGTGTGTCCTTTTTGCAGAGAGCCTGACGCACCTGACGAGCCAGTCGGCGCTGGCCGAGGGTCTCTTGGCTGCTATTTTGGCAGAAGCCCGTGAAGAAGATGTCCTGTCCGACCACCATCAGAGCGGCCATCCTCTCTTCCAGCGGCCCCGACCGGCTGGTGTTCGCGAAGGCTTCAGTCTCTGAGTCGACCAACTCCTCGGTCTCATAGTCCTCGTCAGGACCGCTGGCCGCGGCTAGTGGACCGACGAGCGGACCCAGGCCCGAGGCCGTCTGGCCGCCCGTGGTCCATCGGAAGATGCGCAGGACGCCGCTGTCGACCCGCGTCAGGGCAATGCCGCGATCGAGGTTGCGTACACGAAAAGTCGCCTCCCAGGTGAGAGGCAGGCAACAGGGCCTCTTCATGTAGGCCTGACTAAGCAGGTCTAGTGGCCAGCCGTGGTTGTCGTCATGCCGACAGGGCGGCCGATCTTGCTGCTCAGGGACGGTGGTTGTGAAAGCGAGGAGGATAGGAAAGGTGAGCAGAAGGAGGGAGAGGAGGAGTTGGCGGTGGTGATGGAGGCGGGGACAACGGAACGGAGCGGCGATTCTTCTATCTTCCGTGACTCGGGCAGAGCCCCTGAGGTTGTGTACCAGTCCAGACAAATTAAAGGGTACCAGATCTGGTCTGGTAGTTGGGCGCATCCTGCCGGCTGGATCGATCGAGAAAGACTGCACACTCGGCAACCAGAGCAAGAGCCTGTTATTGTGCGTGTATGCTAGTGTGTGCGGATGCATTGTACAAACCGATTATATGCCCTGTAGATGTGTGTCCACCTTGATGAACGCAGGCATGCTGACGAACATCCATGCGCATGCGGACAATCAGGATGGAAATAGACAGAGCACAGTTGAAGTGGAATGGTGGATAGACACGAAAGGATGGACCGACTTGGAGACAGACAGAGGAAGGTGCACAAAGTTAAATAGAAGCAAGGTTAACTGGCAGAGCATAATTCTAATTGTTATTGCCTTAGCAAATCTGTAAGTGTGTCTAAACTCTTCGGAGAGATCTGATTGAATGCACATGTAGATCCGTGGCGATTTGTCCATTCTCTTCTCCGCTGGCAAGCCTGCGATACCGTGCCTATTCTACCGGCGATGTTGTCTTCGCATGGCATATCCTGCAAATCAGGATGTTCCAAGGAGAAACTTCAATGGAGTTGTGTCACGGTGATCGATTGAAGAGTAAGCGGAAGAGAACAAGTTTACACCGAACAAGCCCTTACATTCTCTTACTGATGGCCCGATCAATTCGCCACTTAGGAGCCCTGACAACTCATCTCTATCTCGCGCGCTCGCGATCCATCCCCTACACCCCGTTGCTCTCTTGCTATCTCGCCCTCGTCAAGCCGGGTAGACGGTTCTCTCTTATTTGCATACATGCATTGGTTAATTGCTCATGACAGCCGTAGAAATGGTGTGCTGAGTACAACCACATGCCTTGGATGGTGGCATAGCGAAAGGAGATTAGCAAGTATTTACTTGGGAGGTTGTTAGGTTTCATATACAAGATAACTGACTAAGAGTCCTGACTTCCAAAAGTCCCTTAACAGTTTGATGGCATTGCAGCCTAAAATAGAAACATTTGTTACTTTTTGTTGATTAATGAAATTTTCCCACACCTAATCAACTGTATCGTAGTTCACGTGGTCTTGCCTCTTAAAAGGTTTTCCAATTCAATCCGTCCAGGTATAATGATGAAAGTGAGTGAGGAGCATCGTGATGATACATTCCCACTCAACTACGTAGCCATCGCTGTCACTGGTTCACAGGGCAGATGTGACTTTCGAGACAAGGCAGGCTTCTCCCAAATCACATTTAAGATGGGATTTTTAGTATTGCTCCAATAAAAACTTAGTCATTCTACATTTCATAAGGTTGGAAGTGGAATCGTTTACTATGGAATGCATAGATCTCAAATTGCCAATGAATTTCACATAGCCATGAATACCAAAATATTTTTTTTATTGGACAAATTTCACACTCAAACCTTAAATCAACTTTTATTAACTTTAACGAGTAAATTTTAAAGTATAAACGAACTGATGACTTAAACAACTTATTCATATAAAAAATAGTGACTTTAAAATTCTATGAAAAATTGTTTTTTATGGTATATAAATTACATAACAACTTTAGTCCCCATAGTTCGCATAAGATGATCAACTTTTCTACGACCAGGTGATTAGGCCTCACGATGCCAATGAAATGCTTTTTGCTCTGCCTCCCAAAAGCTATTTTAATCTAGGGTGGACTGGACTTTCAGCCTCACCCGGGTCTCATTAGAACCCACAGCGTGATTCGAAATCAGGCCAGTGCTGGCTAAATTGTCGACTTGTTACGACCTCGCCTCACTGCCAGGATTGTCTTTGGGTTAAAAGACAGAGGTAAATTTCAAAACAAACTAGGCCATTCCCGTATCAAAATTTATATTAGGATTGTTGCGGAAGTAAATATTTATTTGCAATTATGGCCAACAACGCTACTTAAATCAAATTAAGTAGGATCTCGTGTCTATCATTAAATCTTGAAGTTAAGCTACTGTTTAATTTGAATGCAAGTATTGCTTAAGGGAAGATATGAAGACCAAGATGCTGTGACTCTAAGTATAAGTTTTTTGACCATGTTTTCGCAACTTGGTCATATTAGCAGGAAGCCTTAGATGAACACGTATTTTAGGAGTCCATAACATGCATAATAATTTCCAGATATGAAAAGAAGTTGGATTTCGAATAAGATTGCTATAAGGTTTTGTGTTCATGTGTCAGTGTTTATGTAGGGGAGAATTGTTGACACATACATAAAAGATTGTCAATATACATAATCGTCTACAAAGGCTTATGGATGCAGAACTCCAAGGTGTCTGAATTTGTCGCCACTATAGGACACCAGATAGAGTGGTCCAAATCCCAACAATTTGCCAGATATGGGGACGTCACAGCCGAGTGGAAGATCAAATAGCGTCCTGAATGATAGAAATGAATGTAGGAAGCTAAGTAAGAACTATCTCTGGCTGCTAAATAGAATTATATAAAGAGAGAGAAAAGGAAAAAGAACAGGAAGAGCCACTGAGTAAGAGGAGAAGACTAGACTAAACCGGAGCTTGTTTTGAACCTTAAATTGTCCACTAATTTGGGGTCGCTGTATACACGCGCAAATACGCATCCACGAAGCTGTAACAAGACGCAGGACTACTGGATCATGCTCTAGTTTATTTACATTGACGAAAGTTGTGACCACATCCTCTCCCCTACCTACATCACTTTGACTCACTTGCATGCATGAAGGACAAACATACATCAGCCAACTAAATCATGGAATGCCTCATTAAGATCGTAAAGTGAGGTTTAAGAAGCAGGTAGGATTGCAGCTGGCCACCTTTCTCGGTTTAGGGTTTTTGGTGATTTTTTGGTGAACAATGCTTTCTGGCTCTGACGCTTTCCGTCACAGGACGGACGAAAGCTCAGCACTGAGTCATCGGGCTTGTAGGACGGTGAGCCGAGGTCTTCTTCGTAAAATTCAACAGACAAAAGTCCAAGGCAACCCTCTATCGGTATCATGTGAGGCCAATCTACGAATCTCTGCGACACGCCTTCCCAATCGAAATGAAAGGTACGCCAGTATCAATAATTTATATAGACTGACCGTGTACTTCGTACATTTCCAGACGATTCGCAGGCATCATCAGTGGGCTTTGCCACTCTTAGCACCACACTACAACTCGTCAAACAAACAAGTGAATTCGATCCTTTTTACCAATTGTCTGTAAACAGTTGTATCTCTTCTGTCCTGGGATATTAACCTATCCTATGCCCTTGTATCATGCCAAATCTATTTGAGACATGTTTACTCTCCCCACTGGTTCCCACATCAGCAAAGCTGCAGTTTAGTCCGAATCCTCTTCCTTCCCCCTACCGAGCAAGAGGAAAACTCTGATAGAACCTGAAGGAAGAGTATTGTGAACTAAACTGCAGCCTTTGACAACACTCCCAGCACAGGGGGGACATGGGAACCATCGGAGAGAGTGAATAGATCTCAACTAGGTTTAGATAAACAAGTAAGAAATTGTGATATTAAGGGGTGATACGAGGATGAAGGATAGGTGTATTCCCCAGAACAAAACTGTTCAGCAGACAATTGGTCAAAGAATCGACTTCACTTTTCTTTCTGCCAATATGACCAAGTTGCGAAAACAATAACAATCAACGTCTATACAAGTATTGTTGTTGACTGTAATGTCGAATATATGTTTGCCTCAGCAAATTCCTGCTTGTTAGCCTAGCTTGCTTATAATTTCACCTCTGTTCTGATACACGTGGTAGTATGGCATAGTGTGAACATTTACAATGTGTATGCAGCAATTCTCGAGTTCGATCCAAGTATGACTAAATATCTTATTCATTATCTAGTGATAGGTTCGATATCCTACTTAATTTAGAAACGGGCACATATAATGGCCTCACTGGAAGCAGAAGTATTATTGCTCTGTTGTTGTGTCTACAGGTTTTAGCAAATAAGCCTGCATCCCCGATACACCTTTGGTAAACTTTCACTTGTGAGGCTGGCACAGAAATCGTCAGAATGTGAATGCATTCTTTTACGAATTCCCCCAAACAGGAATTCACAATTGGTACCCGGCTGCAACCATGCCAAACATATGTAACTCAATCTTGCCTCCCTAATTAGGCATCCGGTAAATGTTTCGTATATAAGTAGAGTTTCGAGACTACCATTAATGTATTCGATTATAGTAGCAAAAATAGGTTTGCTTCATCAACAATCCCGCCAAGGAATGTGACATGGGAAAAGGCTTGTCCTTCATTTAAATTCACATCTGCCCTGTGACCCAAGGGCACACGTTGCAATGTAACCGAGTCAAGCTCACATTCTGAACGGTCATGATTTGACCCCCCCTGGGGTTGTTGATACGACCTATGAGAGGTGAAAACTGAAGTCCACCTTGAATGAGAACGGCTTTTGGGAAAGCAAGGCTATGTGAATTTGAATGGAAACGTCAGCTTTACTCATATCATTGTGGGAAAATTCTACTACCAGTCATTTATCACTTTAAGCGAAATAGTGTGAATACATCTCATATATCCAGTACATTATTTTCAGAACTAGTTGGTTTCGATGGCAAGAGTCAATATAGAGTAAAGTGATGAAGCGCATTCAATGATTTAGTCTGCCACCTCCTGCTTCTCATTGTAGGCTTGCGGGCGGGTGAAATTGAGGAGGATGTTGCCGAAACCTCGTTCATTTTCATACTAAATTAACGCAACTGCCTATATGTGTTTGCTCGTGCGTTGCAGTTAGTTTTTGGAGAATTTTCTTAATAAAAAGCGGAAAGTTACTTTGTAAACTTTATTTAACCCTCCCGATTCTTAGGACAATCTCCGATAAGAAAATATAGCAGGTGAAAAATCAAAATTATATAAAGAATAACAATTTCAGGAGTAGAGTGAGGATACTTAGAAGTACAGAGGAGACATTTTAAGTAGACTATAAATATTAGACCAAAATTTTAGGAAAACATGTATAAACTCGCAATTGGCTCTACCCCTGAAAAGGCTGTAAGGGCTAAATTAAGAAGAAAATGGTATGAATCATAGGTTTAACCGATACGCTATCAGAGTAGATTAGGAAGGATAATTAATAAGATTGTGTTTCCATTAAATAACAGAAAAGCTGATAACAGTATAAGGAAGTTCTGACAAGGGCAGATAGAAGAGAAG